TCGCGCACTCAACATTCCGCACCCCTCCCCTCATTAATAATCACGAGCGGGTGACGTCACTCAACATGCCACACCCTCCCCTCATTAATAATCACGAGCGGGTGACGTCACTTCACATGTCGCACCCCTCCCCTCATTAATAATCACGAGCGGGTGACGTCACTCAACATGCCACACCCCTCCCCTCGTTAATAATCACGAGCGGGTGACGTCACTCCACATGCCGCACCCCTCCACAATAACCATTAGCGGGTGACGTCACTCCACATGGAGCACCCCCCCCCTTCATTAATAATAATGAACTGAACTATTTATCTATTGAATATTTCAGATGTACTGCAATATACACCCGTCTTTGGATGAGAAAAAGGCTAGTAGTATTTTAAATGTTTGTGTGGGGGGGGGGGGGTGTTGAGGGTGGAGTGCCGAGTGAGTGTTTAACTGTTTAACTCACTCGGCACTATCCCTTCAAAACAAAGGAACAATTCCTGGCAAAGGACTTCACTCCAGTGGAGGTGGAGTTCTTCTCAGTTGGTTCAGATTAAAATGAGCAGGTTCTGCAGTGGTGTAATGAACATGAGCATGAAGGCGTGTTGCTTTTGACATCATCACATCGTGTGCCAAGCGTGCATTAATAACTAATTGTGCCAGCCTTAATAGTTAATAGAACACGCCTTTAGGGAGCTATAGTGCCAGTCTTAAGATTGAGCCAAGTGTGCTATCTTCATAGTCGCTACAATTATCAGCCTCAATAGCTAGGAATGCCAGCATGAATATGGGATATTAATAACAGCCTTAAAATATTATAATGTAATAATACCATGTTTAAAAGGAGCTAATATATTGGCACCAGCCTGCTTCTTTCGTATGGTTGGTAGTTGACCAACAACGTGTATCTTGGTCCTGTCGAGGTGAATGAGTCTCGACGGAATCAGGTGTAGCCTGGTGAATATCTGACATTGATGCCAGCCAATGATTTAAGCAGGCAGTGCGTATTCTGTGGTCTATGGTTTTGAGTGAGATTGGGGTGACCCCAGTTGTGGACTATTGCCAATTTCCATCTGTGTAGGATGTTTGATGCTGGCGGTTAAATACAGATTAATTGCGTACAAACTAGTTGAAATATGGAGGATATTTCATGGGGGATTGGTTATGGACATTGGCTTTGCCTCAGGTTGCTCAGCCTTTGTACGAGATAGTATGTAGGAGATAACAGAGCCAGTCTTAATATCCTTAAGAGCAGGGTGTGTCCCAAAAGTACATCGGACCGTTAAACTGAAAGTTAATGAGCAACTTCAATGCAGTAATGTCGCTTACAAAAGTGTTTTTTGTCTGACATCTCATTTATCATCAACTGTAACCATTGTGAAATTGAATAAGGGTCTGCAACTAGGAACTTTGTAAAACAAATATATCGCGAAAGCCTACGTATTAAACCAAATATACAATAGGGGAAGTTTGGGGAAATGACCCTTCATCATAGCACATGCCCAAATTTGATTTAGTGTATTGAGTTTTTTTGTGACAATAATTGTCCTTGTACACCACTGCCAACGGAACATCACCAAATAACTTGTTGCCATTTTAAAGGGTCGAGTAGGCAGGCATCTTCCTACATCGCATGTTTAATTGCCATAATTTTTGGCTGGGCTGTCCAGGAAAGATGGGACGGGAAGGTAGTCAGATCTCAGGATCTCTCTCTCTCTGAGTCCTGTACTCGATGCAGACAATGGGTTGCGATTGACTGAAATATTTAAATAATTGTAAATGAAAAAAATGACCCTTCATCATAGCACATGCCCAAATTTTATTTAGTGTATTGAGTTTTTTTGTGACAATAATTGTCCTTGTACACCACTGCCAACGAAACATCACCAAATAACTTGTTGCCATTTTAAACGGCCGAGTAGGCAGGCATCTTCCTACATCGCATGTTTAATTGCCATAATTTTGGGCTGGGCTGTCCAGGAAAGATGGGACGGGAAGGTAGTCAGATCTCAGGATCTCTCTCTCTCAGTCGTGTACTCGATTCAGACAATGGATTGCGATTGACTGAAATAGCTCAATAATTGTAATTGAAAAAAACAGAGGCAACCATCTTGCTTAATGTTTTGTGTAACGTGTAAAAAAACAGAAGGGAAGTTATGGGCACGAAACGTTAACTTAAGTCTTTGGCAAATAATGATTTATCCCTCATCTTCTCTTAGGCTATTTGGTTTATTGTCACGATTCAGGGTCAAAATTCAATGTTTGGCTCTTCGTGTCTTGTTTGTAATGTGTTTTTTTTTGTTTGTACTGCCTCGTGTGTACTTTATGTCTCGGTTTGTTCAGGCTCGCTCTAAGTGTCTCTCATGTTTGGTATAGTTACGTCTATCCAGTACTGTCTCCTTTGTATTACTACTATAATGAGCCAAGAATGTATCTGTGTAACGTGTGTGACGTCCACATGCCCCCCCCCCCCCCGCCCTTAATATTCATGAGCGGGTGGATTTTTACACTCAAGCAGAAGGTCTAGCGGAAATTTATTTATTTTGCAAATTCGCTTTAAGTTTCATGTTTCTTTATTGAAAGTGAATCTAATAAATAATTATACGCAGCAACAAAGTGGATTTGGTGTCTTTATTTATTTCTTCAGCACTTGAGACAAAATGTAAGTCTTTAGACTTCTACATTATGGTAAAATAGACATTTATCGGTGACTTTCCACATATTGTATCGAATTCCAATTTATTTCAACCCCGGCGACCGAAAGCAGTAGAGAATAAAGTATCAGAGCAGTGAATTTGAACAAATTGAAGGTCAGTTATATACAGTGCTACAGTGAAATGCAGTGAAGTCTTTGATGATGTAGTTTTGTGCCAGGTTCACTGCCATTCAATTTACACAAGATATAATTATTACTCTGCTCAATTTTTTCGTAAATATTACAGCTTCCGTCCTAGGATGGGCAAACAAGCTGTCAGATATGCACTGCAGCGTCTGTGCTGCCTCTTATCGCCTGCCACAGCTGCAATCTTCCCTTCCCCACTGTCTCCATTCGTGGTCTGATCTCCGTTATATTATCTCATTTCTTCAGTCGACCGCTGCCCGCAACAGAGCCCGTACCTATGCATTAAGATTATTTAGCTGCTATACATTTCCACACGATAAGCCACTTTGTTGAACTATCATTTCTCACCAGGTCGCTTCTGAAAAATAAGCTAATAGCTCAGTGTTCTTAACATACCTGTCAACCCCTTATCATTGCCCAACTTCTTACAGACCAATTAAAACCGTATTGGTTAGCCTGTGCCCTTATAAATCTCAACGTTCACCCGATGTTACATCACAAGGGAGAAACACAAACAAATAGACAAAAAGATGTTTTGGCCGTATTGAAAGAGCTGTATGCCCTATGGACCTGAAAACTCAAATTTCCCTGTACAAGAATGCGGGTAAACCCGATGGGTTGACAGGTATGGTTTAAATTTTGATTTAAAGCTTTCGTGACGGCAGGGATTCATATTCTTGGTTCTTTCGATAAAGTCACGTAGAAAGGAAACAATAAAATAATAAAAATATAAAACAATACAATTCTCACGACTTTTCGACTGCAGCACGACGTTTCGATTGCAGTCGAAACGTCGTGAGAATTTTATTGTTTTATATTTTTATTATTTTATTGTTTCCCTTCTACATGACTTTACCAAAAGAACCAAGAATAGGTATGGCTTTACCTGGCAAGATAAAAACAAGTTTAGTTTTATTTGTATGTTATTTTAAGTTATTTGTTTACCCTTCCTGTAATTTGCACTCCTATTGTTTCTGTTTTGTTTGTGGTTGTGTAGTGTTTATACAGACGCGTAAACTTCTTAGGAGGCACACTCTGTTTATTGTTATTCTTTCCTCATACAATCCTTAACACACACAGAGGGGTATCCGGTCCCCTCACCCGATACCCTAAGGAGGTACAGCCTCCGGACTCAGCGTAACCTACACACAGGTCTCCTTGATACCTAAGGAGGTACAGCCTCCTATCTTGGCGGGACTTACACGTCTACCGCTATTCTAGAGTCCTCCGGCTGGGACCTAGGGGAGTCTATCTGACCCACCGCTGGCCCGACGGGTCTTGACCACTGGGTACGCCGAGCCTTAGCCCTCAGAAGGGCTGGAAGGCTGGTCCAGGGTCTCTTCAGCTCAGTCTTCAGCTCAGTCTTCAGCTCAGTCTTCAGCTCAGTCTTCAGCTCAGTCTTCAGCTCAGTCTTCAGCTCAGTCTTCAGCTCAGTCTTCAGCTCAGTCTTCAGCTCAGTCTTCAGCTCAGTCTTCAGCTCAGTCTTCAGCTCAGTCTTCGTGTTGGGAGAGAACTCCCCGAGCTCTGTTGGGTCACCCTTCTTATACTCGTTCGTGGCCAGGTAGAACCAATCACACATTCCCACGTTGAACAGTCTGATTGGTTCTTACCGATCCACTTCACCTCGTCTGACTCCAACCGTTGTACCCAGAGGTAACGCTGCACTGCCCCTTTGATACCTGGTGGCAATGCAGGTTACCGAACAGTGCGTAGCTAACACCTCTTCAGTTGTAACGTTCTGAGCCGCCCCTACTGGACATCTTGGAAAAAAAGAGCTTTATAGCGCATCGGATTCCTCCACCATAATTATTCTTTCTGAACAAATACCTCTCTCAACAGGCGAATCGAATCGCAATTGTCACAGCTAGATAATCGATTCCACGCCTGTGTGGCGTACGGTGTGGAATCGATTTTAAGTTTCTAGTCGTGCTGGGTTTAGAATCTAGGAATCGATACGTGTGTTGTCGTCGCGGGGGACTCGTCAGGTCACCGTGGCTGTGACGTCACGCTCAGCTGTTCGCGGCAGTGCCCGACGCGCTCGCGGTCAGATTCCGTAGCGCGCACGCGCGGATCGTCAGCGCCCATTGGCTGCTGCCGCCGCACGTGACGGCCGACGGCGCGTTCCCATTGGAGGCCGGTCGCTCGCGCCGTCTATCCGATGTACGAGTTTTGAGTCGTTCGGGGTGGGGGGAGGAGGCGGCTCCCCCCCCACCTCCGCTTGTCGGGACTGCATAGCAATGGACGAGGCGGCGGCGGCAACAACAACAACGGCAGTAGCCGCCGAGAGGCCAAAACAACAGCAGCAGCAGCACGGAGACGCGGACGACATGATCGTGTTGGACGGAATCGTTGAGGAAGGAGTGCCCCTAAACTCGCCGTGGACCTTCTGGCTGGACAGGTACACGGGCGTCTGCCTGGGCCTCCCAAGCACCACCCCCCGGCCCACTCGCCTCCCACAACGATCGGGGCCTCGATCGCCACTGAAGGCTCTCGTCGTAGTCGCCGTTGTTGTTTTCTGTGCGGTTTTAAAATTGGAACCGACAGGGCGTTTTCATTACATTGTGGCCTACGTGACTGGGTTTGCCCAGCGCGAGTTTGAAGCTTCGTTCGTGAGATCAACAACAAAAAAGTTCCTAAGTTGTGGTCATCATCCATTGGGGGCGACGCCACCCGAGATCTATTGTGGTTGCGACTGTAATTAAATGTTAAGTCTAGTTTTTGTTGTTGAAACATTATACGTGTGAAGTTTGCTCCAAGTTTCCTCGTAGCCTGGCTATAAAACGAGAAACAATGCGTCCATAATATAGGGGGGGTAGGTCGCGTAAATATAAATGTGTCGTTAATCCCGCCGCCACCCGACACAGCGAGTGACGATTTGGCACGTTCTGTTTACGTGACAAACCTTTACCAATTTGGCTGTGTCGGGTGACGGCGGGTTTTAACGACACATAATTACGCGATCTAACCCAAAGAAAAACAACTCTTATGGAAAATATTTGGTCGCCCTATACTACGTGTAAAAAAAAAACCCGTGCGTGTTTGTGGGTTTCCCCATGAAAACCCATTAAACGGAACTTGAGTCCGTCGGATATGGTCATATATCAGAAAGTAAAACAAGTTTTGACCAGTGTGTACAGTGCTCGGGGAACCACCGTGTACAATCAGCCTGTTATATACTCTGGTGGGGGGGGGGAATACGTGGGTTGACATCAAAGCGACGCCGTCGTGATCTGCTTATGCTAAATCGTCTATTGCTCCCCGCATTCATAAACCCGCACTGGTGAAGTATGGTCAAATAGGGCAACACGACCCGCATAGCGTGTGGGAAGCACTGGCCCAGTCGTGGATTGAAATATGTGTACGTGAAGCATTGAGGGTACTGAATAAGTCGAAGGTATCTCTTGTGATGTTTTATGGGGCAGTGGTGTCCCATTCAATAAAGGCGTTTGTGTCAGTGGCCTGTCATCTGGCTATAAAGTGAATGTGTATGTGATAAAAGTGGAGTTCGTAAAACTTTTATGGCGGCAGTGTATGTAGGTCACTTCGTTGAGCTATAATTTGTGGCCAGATCGCTTCTGAATAAGAGCTAAAGAGCTCAGTGGGTCTTACATTGTAAAATAAAAAAAAAGAGTTTAGTTTGGTCGTAAACTATCATGGCCATTTGTAATCAGCATTGTCAGAGGATGTTGTCTTTCATAACAGTAACACAATTTCTAATACATTGTTATTCAAAATATACAGAAGTGATTAACTGAGTTTGGTTGTTATTGGTGTGGCGTGGCCTCAAATTAAGCAGGTCAGAGCACGCGATGTAAGCTATTCTGAAAGGCAGACAAGGCTTGGCAACTTCATATTCAAAGGGCTGTTATTGAGTTTACAATGTTCAACATTCGGGATGAGGGCGGTGACACACGCACACGATGGCTTTCTTTAAAAAAAAGGTATTGTGGGGTTTTTAAAATTAACTTTTCCAGTTGCCTGAATATCTGACCGGAGCGGAATAGAAACAGTTTTCAACCCCACGGGCTTCGTGGTGAGCCCATTGACCATTGGGCTTTTCATTGGCACTATGTTTGATCATACATTATACTATAGACATTTTTCAAAAATGTATCCTTTTTGTTGCCTACCGTATCCCCCCAACATGTTGAACAAGGGTGGAATAGTGGTTAGTGCGCTGTGCTATGAACCCAGAGACCCGAGTTTGATTACCGGCCATGGCAAAAAACAAAATCAGCGAGTGATATCAGAACTGGTCCTGGACTTTCACTAACCTGCACTGACCAGCATGGCGAAGTTGTGGCCAAATAAACCCCATGACTGACATGCCATGTGTAGGTTTTCATCCACTGATGGATTAAAAATGGCTGGAATTAATGTACTGCTTTTACGTTATGAGTGAGGCCGCATGGAAGCTTATTTTGGCTTTTATTGTACAAGGGAAAGGAGAAAGGAACAATGAATAAATACATGAATAAATACGTTGTCCTGGTCCTGGTTTAGTTGACGAGGAATGAGGATGACTTATTTATTGAGCTGGGTTGTGGAGTCTTGAGAAAGGAAAGTGTTCCCTGTTGTGTAGGGATGTCATGTCGACCTGTATGCCCCTGGTGATGATGATATAGCACTCTCAACTAATTTTACCTAGGGGGTATTTGAGATCAAATTACATGACGCTGCAAATTGCATTGAAGCTGCATAATGCCTTTAGTTCTCAATGCTATTCTCTACGTTAAAAAAGCCACATCCACAAGAATTATTTTCAATTAGCTTCTGAAATAGCTTTTTTTACATTCGACTACTTGAAATGATAAGCTTATGATGTACGTGGTGTGTTTGGCACGTACTTTTACAAGTATTTTTTTACTACGTAATAAGTGCAGTGTTATACACTGATTACATATAACACTCAATTATGAATGTTACAATAAACTGGAGTACATGTTTTCCATCTAACAAATATGAAATTACTGGCAAATCACGGTGCCCTACATTTTATATACGAAACATGTAGGGCCCATTTCTAAATGCACTCCTGCATGAGGGCCTCATTTATGGGTGTTATCTGATAATACCACTTTGATTCTAGATTTAAAGCTTTCGTGACTGCTAGGATCCATACTCTTTGGTTCTATTGGGTAAAGTCACGTAGGTGAAAATAAAATAACAAAAAATCACGACGTTGTGGCCAGACGAGACTGTCTGGAGTGCGCTGTCCTCCAGACAGTCTCGTCCCTTCACCTGATGAAGGCCGCTTGTGTTGTGGCCGAAACGTCGTGATTTTTTGTTATTTTATTTTCACCTACGTGACTTTACCCAATAGAACCAAAGAATACCACTTTGGTCAGTGTGGGTTGGTCAAGGCTGGGAGTATAGACGTGAGCATAGGAGTATTGTACCAACGTATTACCTTGCTCTGCCCTCTAACACTAGCCACATAGCCCGACAAGCCCTGTGACAACTTTTGTGTGCATGGTGGTCATACATCAATGTACTAACCAGGCTATGAGCATAGGCTTTGAGGAAAGTCTTCTCTGTACATGCAAGCGTTTGGGGATCTATTTTGACGTTTACATCCGAGCTATGTAAATCTACGAATGGTAAATTCGCGTTGTGATTGCATCTGCTTTTATATGTATAATGTGGCTAGTTATTCTAAATAGTCAGTGCTCACACATTTGTTAAAACATTCCTTTCAGTAATTTCCCAAAGTATTTAAAGAATCCTTTCAGGATCTTTATCGGGCCTAAAATGGCTGATCCGTTTTTCAAAAAGTTATATTACAGCATCGTCATGGTCTAAGCATTTATGTAATCCTTATAATGTAATTGTTCTCTCACCGAGCTGTTTGTGTAAAGGAGATTAAAGGCATTCTGTCAAGGCCATGCACCCTCCCAATATTCAGACAATGACAAATTTACTTTCCAAGGACGGTAAGCTTATTTGGAGTTAAAATTCCCTCCTAGTGTCTCGCAGACAAGTCTACCATCTGGAATATGACCAAAATGTAACCCTGTGAGCTTTATGTAACAATTAATAATGTAGCATGTACTTTAACTTTGTGTCATGTAATGTTTAATGATTAATTTATCTACAAAATAAGCGAATGTCACTTGTGCTTCAAAACTGTAATTGATGTGATTTCAGTACAGTGTCTGCTCTTATTAATATGGTCATCCACGATCTATCCACTGCTAAATGAAGGAGTTCCCAAGTCAAAGCCATCCCTCATGTTCTAGTAGTGCAACAATCCATCTAGTGTCTGCGGAAATATACTCTAATTGTTATGCAATAATTACATGACAAAAAAAGACAACCTCACGAATATTGGTCAGTAGATAGCAGAATTTAGACTAAACAACATACATTGTTTAAATGCCTAGAGAAGCAAAATGATTGAATGGATGTCACCAATAATGAAATGATTGGCATGGGAATGGACAGTATATTGGAAGTGTGGGGTAAGGTACTGTACAAATGCAATTTGGGAACGGGCTTCTGATGCACAAGACGTGATGATGATGAAGAAGAGGAGGAGAGCTGGAAGGGACGAAAAAGGCCAAACCAAAGATATACGCAGAAGCCTGAAAACGTATTAGGTAAATAATTATAAAAATGTTAAGAACATAGCACACCAATTATTGCAGACGTAGCAGGGATGAGAGCACGAAAGCAACAACAATAGGTTGATAACAGGTAAATTCACAAACGATAGACCATAGGGAGAACGATGGAACCATTACACATGATTAGAGACAGAATTTTAATGTTATTGATCTTTCTTAGAATAAAGGTTGCTTATAGCAGAGTACTTGGCTGCATTCGGGAGTGCCTTGTGTGACTTGCATTGTTGCTGTTGTTACTGTGGCCTACAGTAAAGTGATTTTGAAATACTGATTACTCAGTTTCAGTTGGCTCAATCGCTGCTTGCCAGAGTCATGTGTCTGTGCTACCAACGAGGGGGTTATTAAACTGGCAATCACGCCGGCCTCTTCATCTGCAACTAAGGGACGTCAAAAGCGGCAGCTGTTACCACGGCGAGCAGCGTTAATGGATTTTTGTATTCACTGTACGTTCCCGGCAGGAAAAAGGTGGAATCACTGTGGTCGTGTGTTTTTTTTGGGGCCAAAAATGTTTTCTGAAATATACTGTGTATGGGCTTGTCCACGAGAGGTCATATAGATATGTAATTCATTCGATCTGCTATGAAGAAGGACCATCGCCTAAAACTTCACTGATGTATATTTACCTTTTAAGACAATGTTATAGACGAATGTTTTGAGTCTTTTTACATTAATTGGGCTTGTGCACCACTGCCCCGTGCAGCATCACCACATTATTTGTTTAGATATGATATTGGATAGTTGTGCACTTATCACCAGGAATGTGAATGGGTTCCGGATTTTGTTTCAAACGAAGTTTGCTGCCATTCATCTGTTTTTTTTTGTTTCTTGACACACTTTGATCGCGAACAGCAGCTGTAGTTTTTTTCTGTGAGTAAATTGGAACACGAACAACACATTTTCACTTCTAAATATGAAACGTGCAGTGTACGTAAACATACATTACTCAACTCAGGTCGCAAGGGTGGGCCAGCTTAACCAAGAATGCACGAAGAAAGTAACAAAATACATTGCAGAAGAGGCGTGTGTACAAGGACCCTACGCTCTTGCCAAAGTTATTCACAGCGACATGAAATGATGTTTTCCACAATATTGAATTGGAGAAATAAAAGTGCGTAAATGTGGATAAAAAAAAATTATACCAGTGCAAATTTAATGATATCGTAGTCCTCGTTCGAACTCTAGGAGATGTCATTTTCCTATTGTGGCACCTAGCAGTGGATAAAGCATGACCGGTGAGCGTGATTACACATTTCACATGTCGAGCTCTTTTTAACTGTTACCGATGTTCCAAAAATAAGAGGTATTAATTTATACAGCCATGTAATGCAGGAATGGCACGTGCAATTACAGTAATATATATTCTTTAAATCGAGTACTGTACTATATTTCAAATGCTGTGCCGTGTAGCAGCGCTATTTAAGCTGGCCAATAGTCGCAGGCATCCGTCTCGTGCTATTAAAGTCTAGGCTCAGAGGAGTGTTTTTTTTAATTTGAGATGTGGATTCACACCCCATTGGCACAATACTCAACGGGATTGTGTGCGGTTACCTACAGAAAATACACTTGTTAGTTTGACTTATTTTTTTTACCGATGCAGCCGTGTGGACTCGTCAAACGATTTCCAATCATCAAAACATGAAATAGCTTGTGCTAATGTCCTTGTGTGGCATTGCCTTCGGCTGTAACCAGCAGCAGGTGTTGTTTTTTTTGTTTGTTTTTAAACAAACATTTTGCGCAAATAGAATTGCACACCGGCGAGGCCGCTCCTCTGGCGCAGCGTGGGTTCATTTATTTGGGTGATGTTGCGTTGTTACGCGCGAGGTGTATTTGTGCGAGTGAACGTGCAATACCCAGGGTGCATTCCATGCACTTGTGTATGCCGCCACATCACATTGTAACATTTTTTTCATGCCCCTCACTTGGAAGGAGGAATTGGTCACAAAAAAATCTAGGCTTTCTATTTTTTAATCGTTGCATGTTACCCGCCGTGACGTAACAGGTCAGAAATATAGACACGGACAGAGAAAATGGACCAGAAACTGAAAGGTGTGCAAAGAGGCATGCGGTGTACTCTTGAAATAACTTTGAAACATGAATTTGAGAATATACATAGGTTTGACATCGTGTTGGCCGTGAATAAAAGTAATTGGGATTTGGCAGGACAGGTCACTAGAAGGGGTATGATGGCTGGTGTGGTCAAGGCTAGTGACAGAGTGGGATCCGAAGGAGGGAGCACACCTGAGAGTGAGCGTCTGCTGCGGAGATGGAGTAATGAAATCAGCTCGTGTTCGGGATCTGGATGGATTGTGTGACTTTGTGAGACGTGAGGAAAGTAACCTTGAAGTGGCTTTTGTAGCTGCCAGGTCCACCATTAACAGGAATGATGACGAGCATCTGGCCTGAAATTTCTTTAATAGACCATGTGTCCAGCCAAAGATAATGTGGTTTAATATTGTTTCTTTTTACATCTGTCTCGATGTGTACATTTGTTTATTATCTTATTTTGAAGTTCAAGCTGCTTTGCAATTAAAAAAATACAACTTTTAATTGCTATTACAAAATGCCTTTATCCCCTTCATTATTACAATGATATATCATGCTACTGACATTTCACTGTTTAAAATATCCAACGAAATCACTACGTTTTTACACTGGGAAATGTTTTTGTAAACATGCACTCGGTTACATTGGACCATGCGTGTCCAGTACTTAACCTCGACAAAGTGGAACATTCCACGTTTGATTCCCAGCACATGTGGTCTGGCTCTCCAAAATGGACGCTGCTGGCCCCATGGCTTTGAGCACTGACTGGAATAGCATTTTACCATTGAACTTCTCACCACAACTAATACGTATTAGTATTAGTTTAATTATGTTGTGGGTTGTTTGTGTGTGTAGTGGGGAGCAGTTGTGTAGCGGTCAGCGTGCTGCGCTACGAACCTGGCGACCCGGGTTCGATTCCCGCTCAAGGCCAACATCAGTGACGATTATCTGAACTGGTCCTGGGCCTCACCTAGGTTGGCTCAGCCTCAAATGTGTGAACATTTCTACTCGGGAGACAAAGGCGGTCAGGCGTGGTGCTGGCGATCCACCCCCCTCGTGTGCTGTTCCAGCCTTTATAGGTGCTCGCTAACAGCACTTGCCCCAAGAGTATGTTTAGGCTATACCGGGGATCTTTGTCTTTGTGTATTGGGCATGCGATGATCTTTTTTGAAGTCTTTCTCACGTGGGGTGTCTTAATTTTTGCTTGTATTGGCCATCGCCTATTTTCCATCTAATGTTTTTACCTGTCTCGTTGGTATTATTTGTACCATTTGCCTACAAAAAACGTTCCAATATAATTTGAGTAAATTTCTTAATTATCCATCTGTAATATTCCCAATTTGATCCATGTATATTAATAATAATAATTTTCTTTAATGAATGGATGGTTAGATTCATCGTCCCATTCCGGGTGTGTACGTACTGTAAGTGGGCCTGGACGCAGTCGGGGCTACATCATAATCACAATAATAATTCACAACGCCTTGTCAGTCCACTCCTGGATGAAGGCCTCCCCACGCCATCATGCTTGCCATGGAGGTTGTTTGACCATGCTGGTAAGTGTGGGATCGGTGAAGCGGGTGATGTATCCAGGACCAGTTGAGATGTTAGCCATGGCCAGGAATCGGAACTCAAGTTTAAAGGTTTACAGTGCAGCGTGCTTACCGCTGCGCCGCCTTTCCACCCCCGCCACTGGCAATATGACAGTCCTATATCGGTGGGCAAAAGAGATTGGTATTAAGTCCTGTGGTTTTTCCACTGGCGGCATGACATAGGTTTAGTGTGAATGAGTCCAAGGAATCCAATTAACCCTGGATTACACGCAGCTCAGTGACGGGGGCTGGCTGGCGGTAATGTGCTGCGCCTTTCATTCCGTACGGTGAGGGCACCGCGTGTGTCTGGTTTGTTGTTGAGACGGTCACAAAGTGTCGTGTGGAGAGTTGCGGAACCTTTTAATGTGCTTATGACTCATTGCACTGTCGCTTAGAGTAAGAATGTCAAAACCATGCCATGGTGGAAGTGCTGTGATGTTTATGGAAAACAAAAAAAACAAATGCACGTAACTGTAGTAAATATAAATGTTAATAGAGAGTGAAGCATAACATTGAATTGTTGGTTCGCAGCGCTTTTAAAGCATGAATTGAGCATGAAAACTGTCCAACTGCTCATAGCACATTGCAGTAATATATAGTCGTTGGTCATTAAGGTCATTAAGTTGAACAATGTTATGAGTAATGCTCAATTCATAAATACTGTTCATTTGCATTTTAATTTGCTCAAATTAGAGCTGCCGATGTAATGTTCTCAGATTCACATTGCGAGGGTCTATTGCCCTCTGCTGTTTGAAAATGGGAACATGAGACCTCTTTTGCCAGTAACAAGATATAGTAATAGGTTTTACCCTTTTGACTGGCACAAAAACTGACACCTTTATTCAAGGCATCATGTTTGCAATAACCACAACACAAGCAGTCAAAATGCAAACAAAAGAGACAACTCTGATAATAATATGCACTGTCCTTGAATTTGATTGGTCCACACCCGAGACGGCTTTTCTTAGAGCCTAGTCTCCACTGGTGTTGGACCAGAAGACACCAAAAGGCGTACAACTCAAAAACAGCGCACTATCAGCTCACCCCGAGCCCTCAATACTCTGATAGTGCGCTGTTTTTGAGTTGTACGCCTTTTGGCGTCTTCTGGTCCAACACCAGTAGAGACTAGGCTCTAAGAAAAGCCGTCTCGGGTGTGGACCAATCAAATTCAAGGACAGTGCATATTATTATCAGAGTTGTCTTTTTTGCTTGCATTTTGACTGCTTGTGTTGTGGTTATTGCAAACATGATGCCTTGAATAAAGGTGTCAGTTTTTGTGCCAGTCAAAAGGGTAAAACCTATTACTATATAATGGGAACATTGTCAAGAATAACACTCCAGCATCCCAACAGCCATGCTTAATCCACTGCTGAATGAAGGAATTTCCAAGCTGGCAACATCACTCACAATCCTACATAGTTTTTTTCTCAATTCAAATATTTTGTCTTACTATTTGTTGTCACAACGGCAATTTACTGCCCCGTTTTGATCTGTTATAATTCATTCAAGATGTTCAAGATTTGTGTTTTTGTCATGTGTTTTTTTAGGTCTGTTCGTGGGATAACGGTAACTGAATATGAATCCAATCTGAAGAAAATATACACAGTTCGCTCGGTGGAGGTGAGTTCGGATTAAAAGTTAAACGGAAAGGACCAGCTCATTGATTGATAATATCCCTTGTACAAGAATAACGTGACCTAGCTTGTTTATAACTTTGTTTTTGCTATTGCAGAGTTTTCATGTTTAAGAATAGCTTCCCTGTCATCCCTTACCTCCGAGTCCCCAGTGAACAGGGATTACACTGTGAGTGTTTATTGAGACACTTCTTCCAGGGCCAGTACAATTATATAACTCTAGATTTTTTTAATAGATATATTTTGGGTGAATGCTCGCACACTCGATGCAGCGTGTGCATATATTGGTCCGTTCCATGTCTTTGTGTATACCTTTGTACAGTCATGTCCACTAACAAAACGGAGGCTCAGTGTACCGTGGTTAGTTAGCTTGTCTTCCCGTAATGTTGCAGATGTGCCTGCTGTGTAACACTGCTGTTGTTAACATGTGTGAATCTGCTGCATTGCACACAATGCAATTTTACATATATTGGGATAGAGCACTGGCTTGCCGCATTATTCAACCTATCAATCTAAGTTCGATTCCTGGTCTCAGCTAATGTCAGTGTTGAGCGATATCTGAACAAGTCCTGGTCCTCCCCTCTTCACCGACGTGTGTCCATGTATGTTTGTTGAACTTGTGCACTATGTAACCGTCCGTGCTAATCGGAGGTACAATATAAGTACGGCTGAACAACGCCCATGAGTGCCGCAGCTGGGAGAGACCATTTAGCAGTGGATTGACAAAAGGGCTGCGCATACTTCGTGTCGTGAGTTTTTGCGTTGGATTTATTTGTTCGCCTCGTTCTTCTGTAGGGTTTTTGGAGCGTGTACAACAACATCCCTTCCGTGGAGTCACTGCCTGTTCGCTGCACATACCACCTGATGCGCGGGGAGCGCCAGCCCCTTTGGTGGGTGCTGGGATCTCACCAGCGGTGCTGTGATGTACAAACCGAGGAAGAATGTTCTGCATGCGCGTGAATTCTGTAATGCTTGAGCGGCATTCCAAGCCACTCAACGAGATGTCAGACTTTTCGATTTAAAGCTTTCGTGACTGCAATGATTCATCTTCTTTGGTTCTTTCGGTAAAGTCACGTAGAATGAGAATAAAATAATAAATTGATAAAATAAAATAACACAATAATATTCTCACGACGTTTCGGCCACAACACAAGCGGCCTTCATCAGGTGAAGGGACGAGACTATCTGGAGGACAGCGCTGTCCTACCAGACAGTCTCGTCCCTTCACCTGATGAAGGCCGCTTGTGTTGTGGCCGAAACGTCGTGAGAATATTATTGTGTTATTTTATTTCATCAATTTATTATTTTATTCTCATTCTACGTGACTTTACCGAAAGAACCAAAGAAGAGATGTCAGACGTCATGATGTCATGGAGAGGGTAGGGAGAGGGCAGGCACGTGATGCCTCAGCCTCCAGGGCATAGACGCTGAGTATCAAAAAGCGTTTTAGTTCTGTTTTTTTTTGCCTCCCAATTTTTTTTTCAAAGCTTTGATTTAATTTGGCCAGTTTCCAATAGGGTAAGTCCCGAATAACAACACAACTTTATTACAAATGTATATTTGATTATTCTTACGGGAGTTGTCTTGACCTCCGTCTACAGACAGATGGACTTTCAATCTTGGTTTAAAAAATTATGACGTTCATGCCACGATATTTGTACTTTACTTTGTGCCAACTGTAGCACCTCTTGTGTAATCCGATTTATATAAATACAGTGTATTTGCGCCAAAAGTACACGGTAACCATCTGTTGCATCGATCGTGAGAGTGAAGAATAATTTTTTGAATCAATGAACCCATGCATCCTAAAATTCCGAGTTCACACCATTAAACCAACCATTGTAGTCTAAAACCCAATAAACTGAGCGTGTGTGTTTTTTTTATTAATCGTGTAGTTTTTAAAAAATTACAGTGCAACTACGCTTCTTTCATTGACTTCCTATCCCCTTTGTGAGCCTGAGTCAGTCTTTGCCCTATCAGGCTGCAACCCTCTTTAGGATGACCGACATTCTTCTTGTATCCCGACTTCTGTGCCTGTAGGGAAGATCCCAGTAATTGTGGAGGAGGCATTTGGAAGATGAAATGTACCAAAGAGCAGACGGTAAGTGGGTTTTGCTGGAGGGCTCCCTCTATTTGAGTGTAGTTTGTGGAGGCACGCTATGGCTGTAAGTTTTTTTGTGGGGCTCCACTCTGTGTTTGTGGGTGCCACGCTGACGAGATGTTTTACTACCTCACCTGGTATGCAGGAGCTCAATCCCGACCGTGGTGACGCCTGTATATTTGGAGTTTGCATGTTCTCTCTCCCCGTGGTTGCGTGGATTTTTCTCTAGGTCCTCCGGTTTTTCCCTACACATTTAGTATCAACATGCTTTCAGAGTATTTGGCTGCTTCGATGAGCTATCGTTTGTGATAGCCAGGTTGCTTCTGAAAATGAGCTATACAGCTCAGTGGGCCTTACCTGTTAAAAAAAAAAGTTTGATCGTTTTCAATTGTGGGGGTGCATTCCCTGACTGTGCATGGATTGTGGGGGGGGACCTTATCGTTGTAAGTGGTTTGTGGGGTGGTATGTTATTCAGTGTGAGCACCGTGTGGTTGTCAGAAGTTTTTTTGGGGCACGCTGTGGTCGCACGTAGATTGGCGGGGGGGGGGGGGCACCGTCTGCTTGTAAGTGGATCGTTGGGGGAGGTACTCGATGCCTGTGGCCGCCCAGCTCTGGAGCTGAGGCTGACATCGCGACGCGCCTGATGAGATGCTTGCGTGTGCCCTGTTGCGCAGATCACTGTGTGGAAGGAACTGTTGCTGGCGACGATCGGGGAGCAGTTTTCCGACAGTTGCGAAAAGGGTAATGAGCGCCGTTCGGAGTTAACCGGCGATTTTGCTTGAGTCCCATGTCACCAAGGAGTCCACCAACAAAGCCAAATGGTCGTTTATGCTTTTGCCTAATGTGGATTAAGAGTAATCCGTGGGGGTCATGATATAATACTCGTTAAGTGGTAACTTCCAATAAATGTTTGAGTAATTGTGAGACATTAAAGAGGGAAATGTACGGCATTGCTTCTTGTTTCCCTCAAGAATAAATAAACCATTAAATCGTTGACCTCTACGAAGAAGTTGTGCATAATTCATAACACGAACAAATCCCCCTTTAAGAGAGACATGCACAATACTTGATCAATTAATAAAATGCCATGAAAGTGTGTACACTGGTACATTTCATTGGTGCGTGTACATGTGCGGCCCTTTGGTCAATCCACTGCTGGATGATCGCCTTCCTTTTATAATGGGGGTTATTTAACCGTACTTCGCCGCTGATCAGTGTGGGTTTGTGAAGGTGGTGATCATATGTGTGTGGTATCATATAACTACAGTACAACAATTGGGACCTTTTTGCCAGTAAGGATAAAACCTATTCGTATTCTTTCAATACAACAATTAATTTCACTGAAATCCCCTCCGCTGCTCATGACACCTTGCAGCCCTATGACAGCTTATTTGTGGATGGTAAGCGCCCATCCAATTGCTCTGTTCAGATCTGCTTAGCCTCTGAGATCTGACAGAATCCAGGCACATTCTGGGTGATTTTGTGAGTGATGCGTAGAGAGGGATTAATAAAATAAGTGATTAATATTGGATATAACTTGACTCGTAAACGTGTCGTATTTACTATTAGACTGCTGTGGAAATTGGATATCGTTTCTTATCTCATATAGATTTATATAGTGCCTTAATCCGTGTCACTTTACAACAATTATAAAACTGTACATAAGATGATAGTGGTTAAAATAGTGGGGTTATTAAAAGTGATGGTGTAGTTATGGTGACAGTTTGGAGGACAGGTGGGAGTGGTTAAGGAGCGGTTGGGGATGTAAAGTGTGCAAATATTTTAATCTAGCAATTTATAGATCCGCTATGAAATTAAATGCCACTTAAATATCATTGACTTGACCCTCCTTGGCATGGTAAAACTTAACAGGAAACGTGATCCGCATGCGCTGTGCACTGTGTAGCGTTGTCTGGCCTTGCTTTATTGAGATTTCGAATGTGCGGACAAATTCCCATTTTGTTTGCCGTTAGGTGACTGTGTATATGTGTATACCTTGGCCAGATGATAGTGGAGAGCGGTAGTGTAGTGGTTTGCATGCTGCGCTATAAACCCGGCGACCCGAGTTCGATTTTCCGCTCACTGCCGACACTAGTGAAAATTATCTTGAAGTCCTGGGCCTCCCCTAGGTCGACTTGGCCTGAAATTAGTAACTGGTGTAGTTGGTAAACATCGTCACAAAGGCGGCCGAGTGCGATGCTGGCCACACACCCGCTTGTGTGCCGCGTCGGCCTTCATAAGTGCTACTAGCTAAAAGCACTTACTCCAACAGTCTGTTAAGGCTGTACGGGGGGGGGCTTTGTCTTTGCCCTGGCCAGATGACGAAGTGGTCGGAGTGAGCGTGAGTATCCGCGAGCGAGAAGACGTCATACAAGTGTGGAACAAGAACGCCCGCTTGGCCGACAGAGCTGCGGTTCTGCCCAAGCTCTTTTCCCTACTGCCGTCTGTCGGATTCAAGGGCGTCTTTTACAAAGGTGAGAGACCCAGCAAAAGGTGGAGTTCGGAACGTCTCTATGTATGTATGTGTGTGTATGTTGAACTTCTTTTACAAGCGATTGAATGGGGAGAGTGGCATTACCGTGCTATCCATGGTTTGAGATTGGTGACCTGAGTCGCACTGTGTGCGTCTGTGTGTGTGCGTCTGTGTGTGTGCGTCTGTGTGTGCGTCTGTGTGTGCGCGCATGCTTCTGATTTACCAGAACACGAAGAGCACGATGCGTTTGAGCGAGGACGGACACAAAGGCACCATGGTGGTGGTAGCGGCGGTGGGGGTGGCTTTTACAGGAATCACGAGTGAGATGGGTGCCTCGCACACATAGGAAGAAGAATCGTGGTGGTTGTTTTCAACCGCGTATGTTTAGCTCTGCCGTCCACAGATGCATTATCTCTCTCTCTAGCGCGCGGACGCAGCAGGCTCGGGGTGACTGTCCCGTGTGACATAACTGCACATTATGGAGGCGCGTGGGATGCTGCTTTGTTTTTAAAAAATTTGTACTGTCAAGCAAAAAAAAAACAACCATTGACCACTAAAATTTAACCCGAGTGTCACTTTTCGTAGGATGTTATTTTGGGAAGCAATTGGCACTTTTGTAAAAATAAATCAAATTAAGTGGGGTAGTACTGATGAGAGCGTGGTACAGATTAATACGAGTTGGACGTGTACCTACGCAAACCCATTGCCACTTTTTGGATTCACGTCATGCGCAGATGCGCGTTTGGTTCACCTTCAGCCGAGGCAAGATGGTGCACGTAAACAAATGTGGGCCAAAGAGGAAGAAGGATTTTTTTTGCACATTTTCGTCAAAGTTTTCCATACAAAAAAAACCCGGATTGTTTTACTGAGCCGGGATGTTGTTTCACTTTGACAGTTTTTCGAATGCGTTAGGTAGTGTGGAAAAAAAAAAGTTATATTTTCCTTTAGGGGGCATTTGTTTGTATGTCTTTGTTGAATGCAGCGCAACAAACACGTATGGATGTTTTTTTTGTCGATGAGTTTTCAACTTTGTCGTTTGGTGATCTATCATAAAAAGTGAAGTGCAAAGCCTAGAGAGGTCACTGCTTGAAATGGTGCTAGCATTGGACAGATAATTTGTCATATTACTTAAAACAGTATTAGCGATCATAACTTTTCATGTCAGTTGACATAACTCACCTCTCAAAACATCACGCGTGTTTTTTTATGAACATTATTTGCCGGACTTCTTTAACCTGATAATCTGGTCAATATGCTTATTTGTGGCTCTACCATTTCATTTTGTGTTTGTCAGAGTAAGGCTTTACAGACTGGTCATTTGTACAGCCAAGAGTGAGTTTGTAGTGGTAATCAAAGACGGACAAAGCTCTGGACAGAAGGATTTAAGCTTTTGGACGGAAACATTCTGCACTTGGACTGAAGGTGGATCTGTAAATGCTACGTGCATCTGCTAAATCAACAACTTTTTCAGTGATGGTGATTTCTCCTCTAGTAATAGCACTTTGCATTTTTAAATAATGTTTTGGTGTAACTTTAAAGGTTAAACACACACTTTACCACTACCATGGTGCATATTAATTTGAATCTTGCATTAGTTCATAATATAGGGGAATGGAGTTTACTTTCAACAGCATGCAAGACATGTGGAAGTGGATCAGTATGATGATGTTGATTCCATAAAGCCGGGTTTCAATTAAATGGATTTAGCATTTTAAACAAATATTGCTCTTTCTATTAAAAAAAAGAAAAAAAGATTTCAGCTATGCATGGAACATGGGTTAAAATTGCTCTCTGAAAGTGAGCCTCCTTGTGTATTTTGTACATAACTTTGTGTAAAGTTGTAATCCACGCTGGCAGTTTGTGTTCACGAGCAAAGGTTTGTGCGGCGGAAGTCAGGTCTGTCACGGCGTGGGATGGCACTGAGCATCGCTCCACTGGAGTGCCGTCGCAGTGCCTGCTGCTGCTGCTGCTGCATCAAAAGCAACGGAGTCGCAAGGCCACGACTGGCAGAGCGCAAAAGATCAGCACGTGCCCCCATCATCGGCAGCCTACCCACGCCGGTGCACAGCGCCGGTTGTTGGGCACGACGTGGGTGGTGGCGTAGCTACCGAGTGTGCAGGCGGTACAATTGCGCTGGGGCCCACGGGCCAGAGGGACCCGGGTGCTTGGTAATATGGAGAAGGCGGTGGGCTGGGGAGGGGGGGGGTCCCCATTTTATTCTTTGCACCAGGGCCCATGTAAGCTACGCTATGCCACTGACCACGAGCTGCACCACCAAACGCGTGTGGGAGAGTGCCAGCGGACTGTGAATCTCCCACCGGCGTGTGGAGTGGGTGACTACGTTTGCTGTCCAGCAGTGCAGGCATTGTACTGCAACCATGAGCAGCAAGGGACAGTCTCCTCTCTACCGTAGATGCACAGCGGTGGCGTAGTTATTGAGTGCGCAGGCTGTGCAACTGCCCCGGGCCCCCCACAGTCCAGAGGGGTCCAGGAGCCAGAGTCATTCTACGGATAGGGGTGGGATATTGGTCACGGGGCCCTATTTCATGTCTTACACCAGGGCCCGTGCTAGCTAAGCCGCTGCACAGTCGCCTGCCTCTCACAAAAATGGCACTCCTGTTTACGTACGAATGCAACTTCGCGTCCCGTCTCGGCATTCCGCCTCCCGAGTTGTGAAAGCTCCAAAGGACCCATGTACTGCCTCACCGACACCCTCGCTGCCTTAACGCTCGCCAGGGCAAATGACCGCTTTAAGAAGCCGTCAAAAATCCCAGGCGAAAGATGAATACCATTTTGGCCACATTGTGATGTGCATATCTACTCTTGGGTTTTCACTTTTTTCGAGGGACTGTGTGAACATTTACATGATATAAATTTTAAGTGAATACATAGATTAATGAGAAGCTTATTGGTTGTCGATGTTTTCTGAAGCCTGTGGTATCGAAATGGTCAACCGGGTAGCATTCTTACTCGTGTGCTTCATATTCAGCAGTCGCGGAATCCGACGTTCATCAGAATCGAGCATATCTGCAAGTAAATAATATGGCTCGGCCAATTTGTTTTCTCAGCCATTGACTACTTGTTTCGTATATTTGAGGTGTTTATGGATGACTTGTCACGAGTTTTTACCTGTGTCACTAGCTTCGCTGTGTGTGTGTTCCTATTGAGTGCAGGGAATCTGATCTGAGCATAAATCATGCTGCCAAGATGGGGGGAGTTGTCTTGCCGGCACTGATGCTTCCTTGCCGTGTGAATGATGATACATGCAACATATAGTCTGTAAACTGTGGTAGCAACTGCAGCATTTATTTTCTGACATTGACAGTTTTTGTGGCCTTCAGTAAAGAGTGGGGAAGGATTACAATGATATCACCTACTGTACTGAACTCATGCAGGGTTACACCATCCATAGAGTTGGCACTGCGACTTTTTACAACTGAATAAAGGTATGTTACAATGCAAAAAGGCACAGCTCCGCTTGGTCTCATTGTGGTGGTGGGGCATTGCAAGGTAACGCCATGCCACTTTTGCATACCTGTCAAACCCTTATCAGTGCCTACCGTATGACAGACCAGTTCACACCTTATTGGTCACCCCGTGCCCTTATAAAGCTCAACGGTCATCCTACAAATTCCCATCACAATGGAGAAGCACAAATAGACGAGTTTTGAAACGACTATATGCATTATGGACTTGAAAATTCAATGTTTCTGTACAAGAATATGGGTAAACCGGTATGGGTTGACTGGAATGGTTCATATTCTTAGCTCTTTCGGTAAAGTCACGTTGACTTTACCGAAAGAGCTAAGAATATGAATTACTGCAGTCACGAAAGCTTTAAATCAGGAATGGTTCAGTTCAGTTAATTTATTTTGGTATAGCCCTGTGAGCCATTCGGCTCTTGAATCGGGTGCAACCACAACAAAGAAAAACAAAACACGAACAAGAAAAACATCTTAAAGTGACTGTGTGTGACTGTGCAAACAGAAAATCCATGAAAAAACAGCAAAAATATTCCTGAAAAAAGCACCGTACACCAACGCTGTGTGCAAAAAAATCCCAGTGGGATGCAAGTCAAACAACAACCACAAGAAAACTTAGATTAAGGCCATCAGTCTAACTCCGTACTACAACAAAACAAATATGTCCAAACCAAAAAACGTTTTCGAAATAAAAAAATAAAGCCATAATTGCAACGTAACAGTGATAGGGACTGTGACCGAATTTTTACAATAAACCACATAAATAACATGTAACACCAAATCCTAGAGCCATAGCTGACTGCATGAGTTACTCCACAACAACAAGCATCAGTCGGGGTATCACATTTCTCAATGCACCTTTAAGATCAGCACGTTAAATCAAAATACAGATAATACTTTGCAGCGTCATCCGGAGCGAAACATTTTATTTTACGCCAATGAATAGCAGTGGCAGCTAGGGGTGTACAACTCCTCTAGAGCAGTTTTGAGAGAAGAGCTCATTGGTAGCGATTCAAGTTGCAGTTTATTGGCAATAGCATTCCAGACCCTGGGGGCATCAATAGCAAAGGCCCTTCCTCCAGTTTTTGTACGGCAGTAGGGAATGTGAAGCTGGTAAATGAGCGAAGACCGGAGGTCAAATTTGTTCTGTGAAACAGGAGATCCAGCAGGTAGTCTGCGAATTTTTTTGTAAGTACATCGTGAATGAATAAGATCTGGTGCACAAGCCGTCGAACATTAAGAGATGTTAAGTTTGACCCAATGTAGAGATCACAGTGGTGAGTCCTACATGGGCAGTTCAATGTAAATCTTAAGGCCGAGTGATAGATGGAATCAAGCTTCAGTACAGTAGTTGGGGCTGATTTATACACGATGTCACAGTAGTCAAGTAGAGGCAATATGGTAGCTTTTATCAATTCCAAACGGAACATTGGGGGGAAGCAGTGCTTGTGTCGATACAGAAAACCGATTTGTATTTTTGTCTTTTTACCAACATAATCAATGTGATCTTCAAAATTCAGTTTTGAATCCAGGATGACCCCAATATACTTATAGATCTTGACTTGCTCTATTTGATAATTATTTAAGGAATGTAATTGGGGAAAAATAACTTCCAGAGAATGGGTTTGTGGCCTGTAAGTCTACAGCCCCTTTTGTCAATCTGCTACCGGATGATGGCCTCGCTACGCCTCGTGAGCCGTGGCGGTTATTTGACCATACTTCACAACAGTGGTCAGTGCGGGTTGGTGAAGCCAGCGAGCGTGGATGTTCGAGCGTAGTACAGCAGAACAATGAATCTTTCTTGCACCGCCGTCTGCTAGCATCGTTGCGCCGGATTTCAAGTCTGGCATATATATTTTTTTACGCGCCGCATTATGTTCAAACACCCATATGTCACCTACAATTATACCCGAGCGGTTAATTTATTTAATTTCATTTCGTAAATGAATCGGATCAGTCGCGCAGCCGTGGCACCAAGTCAATGCGTGTGGCTGGCAAAGTCATCCCTCTACATCTGCCTTCTTGTCAAGTCCCTAGATTCAAAGCTCCATGCTGTAATGGTTCTCACACACACACTGGACTTGCAATCCAGAGGTCACCAGCTCGAAACAACGGTGCAAGCCTCTCGAATGTCTCCACTGCCTGTCACCCCCAGCGGTATAAATGGGTACAACCACAGTTAGGCAGGCCGCGTGTGGTGGGGTAAAGTGTGGGTACTCCCACTTTTTCCAAGACGTCTGGCCAGCGTTGAAGAGTAAGTCTAAATATTATCTTGGGGGGAGGGGGGGGGGGCTCTGGGGCACCTTCATGCAGGCAATTTCGTCAACAGTGGTGTAATTTATGTCAATGTTGCACTGGTACCAGCTATTTGTTGTTCCAGTACAGCAAAATAACAAGAAGTACCAATTTTGTTTCGAATTCGGTATAAAAGAAAAAAAAACACATTTTTTAAGAGCCGCAATGCATGCGAGTATTAAAGGGTCCTGAATAAATAACGTCACGAAGAACAGCAGTCCCTTAAAGAGCCGCATGCGGATCTCGAGCCGCAGGTTACCGACCCGTGGTCTCGGCAACCCGGTCGGTGTGCTTCCATGCAGTATGCAGCCAGACAAACTTGCACAGGAGGATCGACAAGCCGCTATTTTTGTTGTCGACAAGCCGCAAGGTACAAAACATTTCTTGAACACAATGCAACGATAGGGGCATGGCCCAGAGTTGCGAATGAGGCTTGTAATAATTATGGCTTGCTCGGTGTGAAGAAGACGACATTTTAACGTGTGCCTTACGGAGGCAACCTCTAATTATAGGACCATGTACATTTTAATGGGTCTATTTCTTTGGGCACAAGGCCCATGTGTACTGAATAAGGCCTTGTTTTTCGTTAACGTTTTTGATTTGTACACGTTACTGAATTAAAGTTTGTGACATGGAACACTCCACGCGTGAGTATTTTGTTGATTGGAGTGGCTGTTGGCAGTAATATTTTACGAATACAAGCTCGTCACATGTACAATACTCCCAGAAGGCATAGGTTTACTTACATACGGATGATAATAGTTTATACAAAGTTACATTGGAGTCTAATCAATAGCACTTAAAATTAATGCACATTTATAAAATATATCCAAAACAATCTGATGTACCCACAATTGTATTCAGCATCACGTCGGAAGTTTAAAAAATATCCATTTTGATCTCTCGCACAGAAGTGGATATCATAGAGTTACGTCTGGGATACCTCAACGTTATCTCTGTTCTCCAAAGCAACGGGCAACACATTCACACCTACTCTTGGCATATGATATTAATGTGTGTCGCATGGTACCAACTGATATTTTCATTCCAGTATTTGAATTTAGTTAAATTAAGTGCAGGTCCACGTTTAATGTAATGGCTGTTTTGTGCAGACATTGGTTATTGGGTTGAGTCCAGCAAATTGCTACACTTGAGAATTCGGTTTAAACTAAACTAAACAATTTGTATTTATTTTACCAAATAAGGCCCACTGAGCTATATAGCTCTTTTTCAGAAGCGACCTGGTCACAAATGATAACTCAAGAAAGTGGCTTATCGTGTGGACATTTAGAGCAGTCGAATACTCGAACCGCATGTTTCTGAATGTGGAGGGAAAAACCGAAGGACCTGGAGACAAAATCCACGCGACCACGGGGGTGAGGCGGGGTGGAGAACAACCAAACTCTTAATATACAGCAGGGTCAGGATCGAACCGACAACCTCCTGTATGCCAGACAAGGTAGTTAACATCTCGACACCGCGATTTAATCACAGACAGCTGCATAGATTCGAACAAAGAACTTCAGCGGTGTGACTGATCTCTGAGCCACCCGGCCACCTTATTTTTTTTTATAACATCTACATTGCAAACATTCGCATTGTTAACACGTTGTTTTGCTCTGTTTTTACATCGGCGTGTGTAATGGGAAACTGCCGCTGCATGTGCATGCACTTTATTACTCACCAACAGCTTTTAAATAGCCATGCAAACGGGTATGTGACACCGCACCATTAAACTGTGGGATACGTGGAATTTATATTCGGTTAAATCACCGTCGCAAAATCAATACGGTTAATGTGCCTGGCCCATAAGAATAAGTTTTGATGTTAATGTAATCTTTGTTACTTCTCTCTCGTTCCCTCTATCTCATTGGCAACAACAATAATAGATCTGCACTACTTACAGTGCAATCCCATGGGGAGGTAGATCCAGACTCTCTTATTCTTAAATACCTTTGCATATTAATTTCGGTTTTAAATGAACCTTACTTTCTTTATATATTAAGTTTAGGTAATGATAATAAAATAGGGAGTTACAAGATATGTAGACCACCCTGTACATTTAGAACACCGGTACAAGAGACATAGCTTATGACTTTTGATTGTCCAGTATGCGCCCAATCTTTCCAAAGCTCAGAAGCTAAGTGGGTGAACAACAATACTAATCACAATGTCAACTTGTAACGCACCGCACGGTATTCGCTCACTCTCCGATAAAGAGGCTCAGAGACGCGAGGAACCACAGACGAGCGGGAAGCCTGCAGCCACGTGGTCAGCCGCCGGCAAATGTCCTTGCCAAGCTCTGCGGTCCTCTGTATATACCAAGGTGTTGTCGACCAATTAATGAGTACATATTTACACGCGGGAGGAAACTAGAGCTACCCGAAGGAAAAACCCCTACACCTGCGAGGGAGAAACACTGTATCCCCTACAGATGGAATAGTTGGAAGCCACATTCGGTGTACCGTCTTCTCCCGACACACCAGGATATGGGCTCCTCGACGCCCACGGGGAAGGGAGTTTAACACCGTGTCTGCGATCCTCCAACCCCAACTGCCTCCACAGTGCTGATGAGAGCCGACCACACCGCCTGGCGAAACCGCCCAGGTTGAGCAGCGCACAGTGATGAGAAGCCCCAAACGTTGCCTTGTAAACTAGTGTATGCTTATTCTTGGTTCTTTCGGTAAAGTCA